CCTTTGTTCAGAGACAGCCTGGCAGATCTATTCCCCTAGTAAAGGCTTGTTGTGGCCTGGTCTGGTCTTGGTCTTTGGCCTTTTACTGACAATAAGCACAAATGGTATAACCACATTTATTCTTGAGTGGATCTGGTGTCTGATTATACCTAGCCATTGGGCAGTATCCAGAATTGGTTCCATTCATCAAAGACAATATTTTATTCAACTTCCCAAACATACTGGAAGAGTTATTTTGAATTAAATAAAAAATGCCAAGTTAAAATATGAAAACAAGTTGTTTCTTTTTTTCCATTGAGTGGGAGCTGAAGCCAATATACACAGGCCAATCAAACATCTGTCCCATGTGACATTTTTCCTTTTGAAGGATCTACGACATCAAGGTCCTTTGCTTGCTTTTGTTTGCTTTCCCCCTTCCCTGTACGGTTTTCCTCAGGGCTGGGGATGGAACCAGAGCCCAGAGGATGCTGGGCATCTGCTCTACCACCTTCCCCTTCCCTTTCACTTGCCCTCAGCCCGGCCTCTGCCCGGGGTTAGGACTTCCTGTCCTGGGTTCTGTCCATGGTGGTCTGGAGGAGTTTTCTAATTTTCTATGTGTCCATCTCCATTTTTATGTCGTTTTTTCCATCTTTCACCACAGGCTGCATTCTCTCATGGCAGTGCTAGGAAGCTTCCAGCGGCTACCTCGAATATCTCTCACTAAAACACCACTCTCTGCTCTGAGAATATTTTAGGTCTGTTGAGCTCTTCTGGGGCATTGTTTTCTCTTTCCAGTGCCCATCTGCAGAGAAACTCCCGAGTGCACAAGCTGCAGGCAGATCCTGTGAACTGGAAGTCCACTGCTTTATTTTTATTTTATTTTTTGTTGGTACCGGGGAATGAACTCAGGACCTTGTGCTTTTGGGGCAGGTGGCAGCACCACTGAGCTAAATTCCCGGCCCCCACTGGTTTATTTTTGATCAGCTAAGCAACACCGGCAGCTTCTAAATTGAAGATGTTTGAACTGTTTTCATAGTTTTGATTGCCAAAATATGAGTTCATAGGTTTCTTTAGATGCACAAGAAGGCAATGTAAAAATTAAATGCTATCTAATATGCAAAAACCTGTATACAGGGAAATAGTAAATATATAAATATGAAGTATGATCTAAAAATATGGCGAATGTTTAAATTAAAAAAGTATTTATTAGAGTAAAAGGCACATTGCCATGAACCTTCCTCAAAATCCTCCCCTTCACTTCAAACACACTTGTCCCATCACTCTTGCTACTTTCTGGAGCAGTTCTGGAAGTTCTCTTTTGTGTCTTCAGTTGCACTGTTGTAGCTGCCTCGATGTCCTGAATCCATTCAAAACATTCACATTTTGTGCTCATTTTTTTTTTTTTGGTACCGGGGATCGAATTCGGGTCTTTGCGCTTGCTTAGCAGGCAGCGGGGAAACCACTGAGCTAAATCCCCTGCCCTCGTGCTCATTTTGACTTTGGGGAAGACTCAGAAGTTGCATGGGGCCAGCATCGGTGAATGAAGGGGATGAGGACACATTAGAATGCTTTTATTTGACAGAACTTTAAAAGTATTGAAGTGATTCAGGACATCAAGGCAGCCAGGACAGCACAAGTAGAGACACTTACAGAGAGGACCTCCGGAACTGCGTCAGAGAGTGGCAAGAGTGACGGGCTAAGTGTGTTAAGTGAACCGAGGAGGAGTATTTTGAGGGGGTAAGGACAATATGTCTTTTACTGCGGTATACTTTAGATCCAAAATGGCCCCCAAAGCCTCCTGTGTTTGGAAGGTGACTGGATTACGGGGCATTTAGCTGACGTGCTCTTAGGGGGTGGAGCCTGGTGGGAAAAGACAGGTCACTGCGGGCATCACCTGGAAGGTTGTATCTCCTTTCGACTCCACCCTCTGCTTCCTATTCCCAAGAGGTGAGCAGCTTTTCCCCTGCCGTGGCCCTCTAGCCTGCCATCCTGCCTTGGAGCCAACAGGCTAGGGCTGAAAATGTGAGCCAAAATAAACCTCTCCTCCTTTAAATTGTGGGTGTCAGGTATTTTGTCCCAGCACTGAGAAAAGGGACTAGCACATGCTGTCATACATTTTTAAAAACTTAAACATTCACCATACATTTTGATCACACCATGTAAGCTGTTATTAATAATAAGATATTGTTTTGTGCTGGGAACTGTGATTTGTGCCTCTGTTCATTTATCTCCTTTTATTTTTATGAAAACTCTGTGTGGTTGGCATTATTTCTAATTAACAGAGGAGATGACTCAGTATCAGGAAGGTAACTGACCAACCATTGTACAGAGAAATCTGAACTGCTGTCTGGACTCAGTGATCTGCCATTGAAGCCCAGACTCTGCCACAGCTATCCTCTTTATTTAATAACACTTTATACCCTGTCACTGGAAATAATACTTTTAAAATATTGAAATGGGGGCTGGGGATTTAGCTCAGCGGTTCCACCGCCTGCCTCGAAAGCGCAAGGTCCCTAGTTCAATCCCCGGTACCCCCCCCCAAATAAAATAAAATATTGAAATGCCATACAAATGTTCTCATATCATTCTCCAAAGCACTATAGGGATTATACAGATGAAATAAAAAGCAGCGGCTGAAGTGCCTGGTATTCTGGAAAATTCATATAGACAGAAAGGAGAAATGTATAACACCACTCACCAGAAATCCATTTCCTTCCTAACAAATTTCTGCTTTATAGTCTTACTCTAAAGCACAAATTAACTCATTAGGAGAAAGAACTAACCATTTCATTGCGAAAAGACATCTCGCGTTCCAAAGTTGAAAGGTGAGAAAAATGACAGTCAGTCTCAAAAAGTGTTGTTAAATGTATCCTGGGGAAAGAAATGAAGTAGTATATTAAAATAAGAACAGCTTTCAGAATCAATACTGCAATAACAAAGTCATAGATAGGCAAAGTAAGAAAGCCATAGAATGGAAAAGATACATTTTTATAACAAATACAGAGTCAATGCTATAGTTTTGCTCATGAACTTGCATGTTTCAGGGCATTTATAACCCAGTGCAGCACACACCTCCTCAACTCTGTTCTTAATCTTTCTTGTGTGTGTATCTAAAATCCCTGTGGCTCTCCCCTCTCTTCCTTCTACCCAGACCTCTAAATGAGAACACAGGCAGGTTTTTGTTTAACAAGCGATTCAAGTACAGTGGACCCTTGACTTGTGAACTCAATTCATTCCCAAGGGCTGGTTGTAACTCATGTTGGTCAACTGAAGGCTCAGGCTCCTCTACACAGCCCTCAAAATCTCTCTCCTGTATACATGCAGATCTCAGTGTCCTTAGAGAGACACTGGCCTAGGATTTCTCAATTTAACCCCACACAGGAAAGGATGTTGTCATGTTCCTTCCAGAACTATTAAGGGTTAAATCCATCTGAGACCATCTGGAAGCACAAGTGGCCGGCGTTCAGGTTATAACTCAAGACTTTGTTCATAAGTTAAAACTAAAATTCCAGGGCCAGAGATTTAGCTCAGTGGTTCTTTTGCCTGCCTTGCAAGTGCAAGGACCCGAGTTCGATCCCCGGTTCCAAACAAACAAACAAACAAAAGAACAAAAAAAACCAAACTAAAATTCCAGTCTTAACCCAAGTTGTTTGTGTGTCAGGCCAATCATAACTCGAGGGCCCACTGTACCAAGTTTGGGAAATACCTCTGTAACTATTGAAAAGTGTTCAGAATATAATTTTAAATAAAATCAATTTAGATTAAATCAGTTTTTAAATAAATATAACATCGCATGAAGGTCCAACTTTAAATGCCAAAGAACACAGGATTGAACTGGAAGATATTTTGTAGTGCAACTCAACAGGAACTGGCAGTGACAAAAGGATCATATGTGACAAACAAATTAATTTATAGTCTGCAATTGCACTATCCTTAATTTATGTAGTGCTTTTCAATGAAGTTGAAAAGAAAGCAAACTCTGGTTCTCCACTCAGCCCTATTTCCATGTGCGTCACGGGTACCCACAGGGGCTGGCGCCTGCCTCCTACCATCCCAGCCCTGCTGCTGACACCAAGAGCTCCCTGCAGGCCCAGGGCCACAGCAGCACTGTGCAACAGAACATGGGGCAGATCCCACCCTTCCAAGAGGAGAAGCCTTGGAGCTGCAGAGAAATGAGAGCATGCCAACGGGAAAGCAGCCTCATTTCCCATACTATTGTTACTCACAGATCACACTGTGAAATACAGTGCCTGTGCATACACACTGAAGGCTCAGAGTCATTCACTTCTGCTTCACCCCAGCACAAAGGAACCTTCTGTTCACTGCTATTGCTTTCCAACTGGCAAGCACTGCTAACACTCAGTTACTATAAAATGAAGAGATAATCAAGTAAACTGCAAAATACACTAGAAAAGCTAGATATTTCAAGAAATACAGTGGTAAATTCTTTGGAAAAGCAAAGGTATTTTAATTCATAAGTTACTATCTCCCTAATGCATGTATTTTGTAAATGCTGCTTCACATATGAAGTCTGTACAATAAAAAGTAATAATGTGCACACACTGGTATACAGAGAGGTTCTATTCACATAGCCAGAAACTGTTTTACTTTATACAAATTGTGATGGCAAATTTTAATCCAATTGTTTTTTATTTCAACTGAAACTAAACCTTACCAATGCAGAATTCCCACAAAGGCAGCTGGAAAAAGAGAAAAAGAAAGTCATTAGACGCTGCTTTATAAATTCCTTTAAACCAAGCATTTCAAATGCACTTGCTTCTGTCTAGAGAGAGCACACACAAGGCCAGGTGGCCAACTGCTTCTGTCCTAGGAGCACAGGGACAACTCCAGGGCCGGGAGCATGCTGAGAAGCCTGTTAACCTCTCCCCACGCTCAGGGGGACTGGACACCAGCAAAGGAAGAGACTGCCAGGGTTTGTACCTCCCTTGAGACCATATGTAAGATTGATACAAGGGGTGATTTTGAGGTCTTTGTGCTTTTTGTTTCCAGTATTTTTCTCTGTTGTCTCTTATTCTCGATTTCTTTGTATAAAATTTTCTGGAGAAGCAGATATGGACATTATGCTCAGCGAGATTCTTCTAGGAAAACCTTAGCCTATGGGAGCCACTCTGGAACCCTGTCCCTCGGGCTCCTCAGAGGATGGTTAAAGGCAGCAAAGCTCTTCCTCAGTAGCGCATGTGAAAGCCTGGCCCTCACCTCCAGCCCCGAGGAACTGTCAGCTCTCCTGAGCTCTAGCATCCCTGTGCCCAAGCCTGGACAGAGTCCTGAGACAGATCCACCCTCCTCAGTGAGGGGCTCAATGAAGAGTTGCGAGCTATGTCACCAGGTCACTGAAAGCTGCTTGTTTCCAAAGACAGCTGGGGCTGAGGAAATGCTGGGGAGGATGGCTGGGGAGAGGAAACCAAGCCGGAACAAGTTAACACATCACAGCTCTGTTTTTCTTATGGAGGGTCTACATCTTTGCTTGAATTAATGTTCTTTGAGTTGCTGTTAGCTTTGGGTTAATTTCCAGAGCTTTGAAAGCACTGATTTTGATAATTTTCCAAGAATCCTCTCCTCATTGGCATGGAGAAATTAATTTACTTAACTGTTTAAGAAGTCCTCCTTCTGTCTAAGATTTTGTAACATCTCTTATGGTTGTCCTGAGTCATCTCACAGACGACCAACTTTAATCTCTTAAAAAATTGAAAAGTTACGCAGCTTGGCTAACAAAATAAATTCAATTAAAAAATGCAATATTGAAATTCCCAATCATACATCAGCTGCTTCCCCACATGACTTCTGACCCTGGGCTCATTTTATTTATTTATTTATTTTTTGGTAAGAGGGATCGAACTCAGTACCTTGTGCTTGTGAGGCAGGCGGCAGCACCACTGAGCTAAATCCCCCGCCCACCCTGGGCTCATTTTTAACACTTGTCAGATTTACTTGTTTTATATCTGGACCAGCAAACTATAGCCTGAGGTCTATTTTTCTACTGCCTGTAAGCTAAAAAGAGTTTAATGTTTTTAAAAGGTGTGACAACAAAATAAGAAAAGAAAGATGAAGATACAACAGAAATACTACATGCTCTACGAGCTTAAATGGTTTACCCACTGGATCTTCAAAGAAAAAAAGTATTTTTATTACCATGTAAACACATCTTTTATTTTTGGTGGTGCTGGGACCTCAGGGCCTGGTGCATGCTAAGCAAATTCTCTCAACCCTAGGATGACACTTTCTACCTAATACACTCAGAACCTCTCTGAAATTAAAGTTAAAACCTTCTCTCTAAACTCCAAACAGATGTGTCTCTGCCGAGGCTTCATTAATTGTAGGAAATATAAAAAACTATTTCAATTAACCATATTAGTATTCTCTTTCTGAAAATTACACATACTGGTACAATTCTTACATATGGTACTTAAATAGAAAGGAACAGGGCCAGGCATTTAGCTCAGTGGTTCCACCGCCTGCCTCGCAAGCTGAGGGCCTGGGTTTGATCCCCGGTACCAAAAAAAAAAAAAACAAAGAAAGAAAGGAACAAAGATGCTATCAAATCCATCTATCTTCCTCAAGATCCTATTTTTTTCTCTGTATCTTACAGTCCCTCCAGTCAACACACATTGCAAACTCACGAGAGACAGACAGATGGGGACAGGTGGATGAGGCCAATATGAAAAATGCATGAAGTGCTGATCACAAGCCCTTTCATTTGTGGTTAAAGCAAGTTCGGGTGCCCTGTTCCCACCTGCAATTCTTCACCCTGGACCCTGCTCCCATCTCCTGCAGCTCACCTCAGAAGGCAGCTTCTTATTTTCCTAAAACAAAACCAAGGGGAACAAGGGCTCCTAACTTCTTTTAGATCCACTTTTACATCTCCAAACATTTCTTTCTACAGTAATCCTTGCTTTTCTATTCATCACCTCAGAAGAGAAAGCATCTCTCCTCTTTCCACAGCAAGCTTCTCAAGTTGGGCCTTCATTATCCCATCCCAAATGCTCCATGATTTTGCTCCTTCAAATCTTCCCTTTCTTGGATCCTCCACCTCACTCCCTCCCCAGAGCGCTTCCCTTCAGTCTCTCCTTCTCTAGAACCTAAATCACTTCTCCTGAGCCAACAGCCCTTCCCTCCCTCTCCCATTCAGTGACAAGATTCTTGCCCTATTTCTTTCTTACAAGGTTCCATAACTCTCTTATATGACCGACAACATTTTTGTAATCAAAATCAATGAGCTCTCTCAATTTTTAAGCTTTTCAATCTTTCCACACCATTTCATTAGATTCTTCTGTTTTTTTCTCTCTCTCATCTGTCATACTGACTCTCTTAGTTCTATTTTTCTGAACACTCACATTTTACACACTTAGTCTGGTTTTTCCTTCCTTTCCTCTCTGAAAGTTTAAGAGTTTTCCCAAAGTATATTTCCTCTATGCCTTTTTTTCCCCTCCACATTGGTATCCCTTGACAATCTCACCCAATCTTAAACTTTTACTTCCATTCTTAGGAAGATAAATTCCAAATCCATAATCTTCATTCTTGAATGAACTTTCTTCTCCTTCCTCCTCCCTTTTCTTTTTCTACCTGGCCATCTATCTAGTACTTTCAATCTGTCTCCATCAACTCTGACTCTGTCCTCTCCTCTCCGTGCCTACTGTTACTATCCTCCTTTGCATCATTGGCCTGGACTCTAGTAGTGGTTTTCCAATCATGCTTTCTTTCTCCTTTCTCAGTCCATCTCCAATCCACCTATGCACTTTCGTCTAGTTCCCTATGAACCACACTTCTGGTCAAGTTGCCCTCATATTTAAAAATCAGTCAGTGTACTAAATGCTAATGAACTTAAAGTGGTTTATGTGATTTTGTCTCATTAAAAACATTTTCTAAAGAGAAGAGCCAATCAGTGCCTTCCAAAAGAATGAGGTTCAAATGCCCCAAACCAATCCTTGAATTGGGCTCTCAGGACTGATGTCAAACAATGTTTCAGCCCAATTCCATCTTCCTCTTCTTTCAGGAACTTTCCTGCAGCCTGACTGTTCTTGTGCTTTGAGAGCTATTGACTTCCATCCTGCAGTCTGCCTGCCCCTAATACTTATTGGCACCAGCTGCATGCACCCAAAGCTTAGTGCTTTGTTACAATTCAAATACCATCTTTTCCTGAACGTCTTTGCTGATTTTGCGGATCTCCTTTCCCACATCCTACCCTAAAGCATGAATTCCCTCTTCTGAGCTCTGGAAACACTGCCATGCTCAGTCATCGCTTCAACACTCATCTGGTATCTTCTCAGTGACAGACCCCAGCCCCTGCTGACTCAGTCTTTGGGATGTGTCTGTGGCCATAATTATACAGCTGGTAAAATCTACACAGGACTCATGTATTGTCACCATGCCACATGTGGGGACTCATTCTCATACCATGACATCAGCCAACCAACACACGGTGTAGACCTACGGCAATAACTGGCATGGAGAGTTATCCACATCTCTGTTCATAGCAGCAGCCGCCTGACCAGGGCCTAGCTCACAACTGGTTCTACTGAGATAGCAACATTTTTCTCTCTCAAGCTACAGAAAATGAGGGCTATGAATGGAGAAAGAGAAACTTTCCAATGCTTACATTTTAACAAGTCTCCAATTTTAGATATTAAAACTCTACAGCAAGATTCAAGCACGTGTAAATGGGTTTCAATGCCGGGTAGCATATCGTCTACTTTGACCCTATTTCTATTACAGACAGATAAGTTAGACAGAAACTAACAGTCAGAGAGCAACTGGGCCCTGAAAAGAATGAGTGCAGGGATGAGACATATCAAGATTGTAACTGGAGACCAACCGGAAGAGAGCTAGACCTGCAGGCCTCCCTAAAGTTAGACAGCAGCTTGATATTGTACTGCAATCAGCACCACCCGGTTCAGCGTCAGATGAATAGGTGGTTGACCAGAAGCCCTGACCCACAAGTTATAGATAAGCTGAAGTTAGTGATGACTGCCATATACCCTTGCTATGTGCCTCACTTCCCTATTGGATCCATATCAGCTAAGCTACTATATTTGTAACCTCACAGGTTGGCCTCAGCTTGGCCCAGAGTGGTCTGAGATGTGGTCATAGTCGCCTATAACCCCCCCAGACAAGAAAGCTCAATGGTAACCCACTTTCAGGACCCCTCCTGTCTCTCAGGAGCTTTATCTCAATAAACTGTTACTACTCTTATGTTCCTTTGTCTTCATATCCATTTTTCGATTATTGAGAGATATGCACCCAGCACATCTGAGGTCTAACAGGTTAGGAGTCACTTCCCTGTGACATTTCCACTATTAATCATCTCAACTAAAATAACACAGATACGATCAAAATACATTGCACACATTGAAACCCCTCACCAAAGTGAATCTAGGGTGGAGGGTGATGGAGAGAATGATGAAAGAAAGTTATGTGTGTTAAAAATCTGCCAAAATGAAACCCTTCATCTGTAAAACTAATACGCACTAATAAAAATGCGGGGAAATAACCACTTCCTTTATTTTGTTTCATTTTAAATGCACAGCAACATCATGTCTGTCCATGAGAGGCAGCCGGCCATTTTTACAACCTTTGACACTGGCTGTCCTAAGGTAACTTTTAAACACAGGGCTGGGCACATCCTGGACGCGGCCTCAGCTCCTCCAGAGCGTCTCGTTCGCACCACGTCCGCCCCACGGTCCTCCCCACGGTCCTCCCCACGGTCCTCCCCACGTCCGCCCCACATCCGCCCCTGCAGGCCGGCGCCCTCCCACCCGCTCACCGGGTCCCGCCCACCCCATCTCAGTCCGGTCGGACCGCAGCGACCCCTGCAGGCCGGCGCCCTCCCGCCCGCTCACCGAGCCCCAGCGTGGCGTCGAGGCGGGTCCAGAACAGCTGCAGGGTGCGCGCCTTCTCCCACAGCCAAGCCAGGACCCAGGCCAGGAGCCCCGCGAGGCAGTCCAGGCTCCCTGGGGCCTCATCCACGCCCGGATCCTCCCCCTCCGGCTCCCTAGCCCTGGTGCGGGGGGTCCGGGGCGGCTCCAGACGCGCCTCTCCACACTTCTTCTTGTGCTTGACCATTCCCTCGCGGTCCCTGTTCTGAGGCTGTGGGTCACTCCCGGGCGCAGTCTCACCACTGGCCCTCAGCCCTTGCGGCTGCCGTTACGGGGGAGGAGGTCACAACGGCCTCCCGCGCGCCCCCTCCCGCGCGCCCCCTCTCCCGCATACAAAAAGAAATGCAACTAAAATACATAACCAGCAGAGGGCAACAAAGACCTGTAAATCAGAATTTTAAAACAGGTAATCATTAAATTCATTTTTTTTTTTTTCATCTTAAAGAGGCTTTATTAGGACTTTTTGGTTTAACATGAGGGGGGACTGCATATGGACTGAACCCTGAAATTCATTTTTGAAAGAAAAAAATCTGTTTTGTAATAAATTAGTTTACTGTTCTTGTAATAAGTCAGTTTACTACATATCAAATGCAGAGAATTTCCAGACATAAGGTCATATAAGAGCAATTAAATTGAGCCAGATGTGCTGCACACCTGTAATCCCAGCATCACAAGTCTGAGCTCAGCCTGAGTAAATTAGTGACTTCGAAAGACACTGTGTCAAAAAAAAAAAAAAAGAAAAAAATTAAAAAGGATTGGGGTGGAGCTCAGTGTGAGCCCTGGATTCAGTCTCCAGTACCACTAAATAAATAAATTTCACTGATCAAAATACTTAAGATATTCATCATGGCGAATATTTAGTTTCCCAAATAATAATGATTTTATTTTTGCTGATTCAGATACTTTGACTATAAGATTTCAACGGTTTAACTTTGCATAAACACACAGGTATAAATTAAATGAAGTCTATATCTAGTCTGGTTGTATGGACCAAGATAGTAGTAATTCAGTGAGCACCGTTTTGAAAGTGTCATAAACTTTTCCATTTATAATTTGATCATTCTGTTTTTATTTATAATCTGCACAGAAGGTGAGGTTTACTTGTGCCGTTTCACAATTTCTTGATTCACAGGGTCCCCCTCCACCTTTTTGCAGTGCAAGAGTTGGAATTGGCATCAGCCTGTATATCTCTAGTCTCTTGGGATTGGTTTTTACCAAAGATGGTGGGCAAAATTCTTAGGACTTCACAATTATGTTAACTATAACTGAATCACATTTCAAATCTTTTAGAGCAATTTTATCTAACAGTATTATTCATTTCAAGTATACTTCTGAAAGACATTAATTACAAATTCGAAGATGAAAAGAAAATTTTGCTTAGTTATGTATCTCTATTTCTGTGTCCAAAAACTAGGATAACCGTAGATTTGTGTGTTTTTGTTTTGAGACAGGGTCTTGCTGTGTAGTTCAGGCTGGCCTTGAATTCACTATGTAGCCCAGGCTGGGCTCAAACTTGAGGCGATCCACTTCCTGAGTGCTGGGACTACAGGTGTGTGTCACTCATCTGGCGATACGTGCTTCTTGAAGGCTATTTATTTTCTAGGCAATTTAAAATTAATGTCTTATTTTACTATATTTTTATTAGTGAAAAATATTTGCAGCACATAATGTTTACACTTCTTGTGTGGAATTGGTACATGTACACAACACATCTTAATTCCGCTTTTCATCTCCTTTCCCTCTTTTCTCCTCTTCCACCTTTTAATTCCCTTCCCATTTGAGAAAAATCTGTCTTCTTACTGCCTATTGTCTTTTATTTTGCTCTTCATTTGTAATTTGGGTTTCTTATACAATAGAGACCATGCAATATTTAAGCTTGTGTGTCTGGTTTATTTCACTTAGCATTTTGGTCTCAAGGTGCATCTGTTTTCCTCCAAGTGACTCAAATTTATCTTTATGACAGAGTAGTACTCCACTGTGTGTAAATATCACATTTTCTTTGTCTGTTCGTCTGTTGATGGAGATACAGGCTGCTTTCAATATTTAGGCATTAAAAATGGTGGTGCTATACACATGAATATGCATGCATCACTGTAATAAGATGTCTTTAACTCTTTTTTTTTTTGGTACTGGCGATCGAACTCAGGTCCTTGCGCTTGCGCAGCAGGTGGCGAAACCACTGAGCTAAATCCCTGGCCCAAGATGTCTTTAACTCTTTTGGGAAGATACCTGGAAGAGGAATAACCAAGTCAAATGCAATTTCTAGTTTGAGTTTTCTGAGCAATCTCCATACTGATTTCCAAAGTGGTTGTACTAATTTACATACTCACCAACAATGTAGATGGTTTCTTTTCCCCTCAAGCCTTGCTGGCATTTATTATTGTTTGATTTCTTGATTATGACCATTCTTTCTGGGATAAGATGGAATCTTGATGTTATTTTGATTCACATTTCTCTAATGGCCAGTGATGTCAATCATTTCTTCATGTATTCATTGACCATTTGTTCCTCTTCTGTGAAATGTCTGCTCATTTTCACTTGTTCATTTTTTGATTAGGTCTTTTATTTGGGGTGGTCTAATTTTTTGAGTTCTTTATATAGTCTAGATATTAGTCCTTTGTGTGAGGAATAGCTGGAAGAAAAATTTCCCCATTCTTTAGGCTGTCTTTTCACTCTACTGGTTCTTTCTTTTTGCTGTGCAGAAGCTTTTAAATTTGATATAGTCCCGTTTATTGATTCTCTGTACTATTTCCTGTACAACTGTGTTCTGTTCAGAAAGTCCTTGCCTATGCCTATGACTTCAAAAGTTTTACCTGTTTTATCTTACAGTAGGTTGTTTCTAACACTTACTTATTTGATCCATTTTGATTTTAGTTTAGTATATGGTGAGAGATATGGTTCTAGATTCAATCTTCTGCATGTGTATAGCCAATTTTCTCAAAATCATTGATTAAAAAGGCTGTCTTTTCTCCATTGTATGTTTTTGCCCCCTTTATCAAAGATCAAATAGTTGAATGTGCTTAGGCTTTTTTCTGCATCCTACATTCTGTTGCACTGATGCACATGTCTTTTTTTGTGCTAATACCATGCTGTTTTTATCACAGAAGCTTTGTAATATAATTTCAAGTCTGGGATTGTGATACCTCCTGCTTTGCTCTTGTTACCTGGGATTGCATTTGCTATTCTGGATCTCTCCTGGTTTGATATGAATATTGGGAATGTTTTCTCCAGTTTGGTGAAGAAGGCTCTTGGTATTTTGATTGGGATTGCATTAAATGTGTATATCCATTTTATAAGTATGCCCATTTTGACTATATTGGTTCTGCTTATCCAGGAAAAGGGGATATCTTTCCATTTTCTGATGTCCTCTTTGATCTCCTTTTTCAGAGTAGTAGTGTAGTTCTTGTTTCAATTTTTTAGTTAGATTAATTCTTGAGAATTTACCTTTTCTTAGTATTATTGTGAATGGTATATTTTCTTTCTTTCTTCCTACCTTCCTTCCTTCCTTCCTTTCTTGCTTTCTTTTTTTCTTTCTTTCTTTTTCCCCATTAAGTTTATTAGTACATTTTAGGTATAAAATACATTTATATACATCATTGGGATCTTGTACCATTGCATGAATATCTTGATTCTTATTTTTTTTCCCTTTCCTCTGCCCTCCCTTCACCCCCTCCACCCTTCCCTATTTGCAAAGATTTTGTTTCGTTTTTTTCCTTTTCTCATATTTTTCCCTTCTTTCCTTTTCCCTACCTCTCCCACTTCCCCTGCTTCTTTAGACCTTTACTTCCTATTACACAATATCAATTATACATTTTTAAAATTAAAATATCAAGACCTAGGAGACATTACCACAGATTTTACAG